TATCTATCTATCTATCTATCTATCTATCTATCTATCTATCTATCTATCTATCTTGTTCTCTCTTCAACCCAGATCTGATGTGAGTAAGGTTCCGTCTAAAAAATCTCTCTCTTATCCTCTCCCCCCTCCATATCCTCTTAGCCTTTTATTTCTCTCTGAATTTAGAAGACTTTTGTACCCTTCTAGATATGTAGATACATAGATAGATAGATAGATAGACAGATAGATAGATAGTTCCCTCATTTACCCATTCCTGATGAGAGTAGGGTTCTAGAACTACCAACACTCCTCCACCTAATTCCTCTGTCAATTCTTCTTGTACCTCATTTGTCTAAGATACTCTTTTTACCTTTTCCTAAATGATTTTACTTTTTAGAATCACAAAGAAAGATAGACCTGTATCTGGAGTTTGAGGTAGTAATAACACACTACGGAAATAGCTGAATATTCAAATCTCTACAAAACTACTTTCATCTTTGCTTCACCAAAGCTGCCACTACAAACGTTAAGTGAAGAGTATATCAAACAGCAGAGACCTCTTAATATCTTCAGACCTGAGATCTGCTCCTGAGAAAATAAGGAGAGGTAGAGCCAAGATGGTGTAGAAAAGCCAGGAAATTGCTGAGCTCTCCCCACTTTCCCTTGAAACAACATTAAGTCAAGCCACTAAATGAATTATGCAGAGACAAAACCCACAAAAAATGAAGTGAAACAATTTTCCAACCCAAGATAACTTAGAAGGACTGCAGAAAAAGGCCATCTCAATTGGGTAAAAGAGGAGTGCAGTCCTGTACAGGTGTGTGCAGGCAAGCCAGCAGGAGGCTCTTAGCTACAACAAAGATCAGCAACTAAGGCCCCACAGTCGTGCCTCAGCAGGGCAGTGGCACAGCAGACCACCAGTGAGGTTTCCAGCCCCAGCACAATAATTATATTGCCAACTCTGGAACCCCTGGGACAACTGGCACAACTATATGGGGCCACTCTAGGGCAGTGGGCAAGCCACCTGGCCCAGAGGCCCCAGTGAAGAAAGTCAGTGTTATGGTCAAAATGCTCCTAACTTACAGTCAAAATTTCCTTTCAGCCTTTTATTATAACAGAAGTTCATCTAAGTGTAAGGAACTGTTTTGTAAATGCAGATTTTAGAAATCAAAACAACTACTCAACTATATCTTTTCACCTTTACTGGCAGGTGTCCTAATGTACTAAAATATGGTAATTTGAAAAGAAGGTCCATTGACTGGACTTCAAAATATCATATTGCCTAGTGAAGTTCAGTGTCACACTTACCATATCTATTTGCAACTGGACACTTTCCAACATAAGACAGCACTTTGTTGATATAACTAAAGCCTATTTTTGTCTCAGTGAAACTGCTCGTGCATTCTGGAAGACAAATATATTACTGAATATATGTGTGTGTGTGTGTGTGTGTGTGTACATACACACATATTATGTATATATATATTATATATATTACTGAATTCTAAACAATATTATACTCTGAAAAAAAGTATTTGGATTGGAGATGAATTTGTAAACTATAGCTGAATGACAATATGTATGAATGAAAAGAATAAATGAATATAAACACATTTATTAAGGACTTGCCACGTGCCAGGCAAATTTCATATACAAATATGAAATGATGTTCCTACTGTCGAGAAGTTTACATTCTAAAAGCAGAAGACAACACATATTGAGAAGTGGTTGCCAGGGGAGGAGGCTAGGAAGTCACAGAGATGGTGAATTGTTGTATATGAAACAAAAGAAATGGGGCAGTAGAGTGAAAAGGCTCAGGCAGAGAGGGAGATGGCATGGGTTGATGGCTAGATGCAATGTGAAGATGAAACATGGTGTGTGTCAGCCATCATCGATATTTTCCATTAAACTTAATAAACTTGACTTCTTTAATGTTTATGTTACCAAAATCAGTTTGTTACCAAAATCAGTGAAGAAAGACAATTGGCTTGTGAGAAGAGGAAGGCAGTCAATGACAATCTATGAGGTAGCTAGATTGAGCAGTAGCTAGAGCACTGGGCCTAGAGTCAGGAAGATCTGAGTTCAAATCTGGCCTTAAACACTAGCTGTGTGACTTTGCACAAGTCACTTACCTTCTATTTGCCTCGGTTTCCTCAACTATAAAATGGGGATATTAACAGCTCCCATCTTACAGGATTGTTGTGAGGATCAAATGAAATAAAGTTAACAAAGCATTTACCAAAGTGCCTGGCACATAGCAAACGTTATATAAATGCTCAGTTCATCCCTTCCTCCCAGTGACTGTGGAGTCATATATGGTTATTACATTGATCATAGTTTATAGTTGTTTTCGTTTACAACATTTTAGTCATTGTATAAATTGTTCACCTAGTTCTGTTAACTTCAGTCTTCATTAGTTCATTTCATCAGAAATCTCCTTATGTTTAGGTGAATATGTCCCTTTCGTAAAATTCTATTACATTCATATACCACAGTTAGTTCAGACATCACCAATTAATAGACACCTTTTTTTATCTCCAGTTCTTTGCTATTGCAAAAAGTGGAAGTATAAATTTTTTGTGCATATGAACTCTTTCCCTCCTTTTTTGATCTCTTTTGAGTGTAAATCTAGTAATGTTCTCTCTGGGTCAAAGAGTATGCCCAGTTTAATGATTTTTGGAGTATAGCTCTATAATGGTTAGAATTTTAGATCGATCTACATTTCCACCAAGAATACATTAGTATGTCTATCTTCTCAGAGCTTCACTAACAGTAGTTATTTTCTTTTTTTTTTTGTCATCTTTGCCAATCTGATGGGTATGAGGTCAAACTTAGAGTTGTTAGTATTTTTTACATTGTTCTTGATAACTTGCCTTTTTTTCCAAATCATTACATTTTTTTAAATAATGTTTTATTTTTTCTCTAATTACATGTAAAAACAATTTAAACATTCCTTTTTTTTAAGTTTAAAGTTCCAAATTCTATCCATCTCTTTCTCCCTTTCCTCTTCCCTGGGACAGTAATCTGATATAGATTATACTTGTGCAATCATGTAAAATATATTTCCATATTAGTCATTTTGTGGAAGAAAACTCAAGCCAAGAAAGAAAGAAAGTGAAAAATAGTATGCTTCGATCTGTATTCGGACTTCATCAGTTCTTTCTCTGGAAGCAAATAGCGTTTTTCTTCAAGTCCTTTGGGATTGTCTTGGGTCATTGTCTTGCTGAGAGTAGCTAAGTCATTCACAGTTCATCATACAACATTGCTGTTACTGTTTACAATGTTCTCCTGGTTCTTTGTCTTTCTTCTAAGAACAGCTTGTTCATATTCTTTGGCCATTTATCTTTAGAGTAATGTATCTTCTTCATATATATTTGAATCAGTTCCCTAGAGATCTTGGATATCAGGTCTTTATCAGATAAATTTTGTGCAAAGATTTTTCCTCAGGTAATTATTTCTCCTTTAATCCTATCTATAATGATTTTGTTTGTGTGAAAAGTTTTTCGATTTTATGTATTCAAGATTATATATTTTATTTCCTGTGATTATCCTCTCTATGCTTTATTTGGTAAATAACTCATCCCCTATACATAATTATGATTGTTTTCCCTCTTCCTCTCATTTGTTTTTTTTTAAATGAAATTTTGTTTTTCGGTTAGCAAAACTCTGTCATCTTTCTCTTCCATCCTGACCCCTACAACTGAGAACAAAAAAAAAACAAAATCCCTTTTACAAACATGTACAGTCAAGGAAAATACATTTCCATTTGTGTATATATATATATATATATATATATATATATATGTACACACATTGTGTGTATGCACACACATATATTTCTAATTTTCACTCTGTCATTCACCCCTTTATCAGGATAGCATGTTAGAATACCTACTTCCCCCACAGTATCACCAACATTGAACTTTAATCATTTTTTTGTTCTTCTTGTCATCCAATGAGTATTTTGAAAGTTTTGGACATCTTTCTCTCATTTGGGCCACAATCTCTCTATTCTTCTTATCACATACATTCCCTCCTATCTTGTCACTAAATTTTAAATAGTCTTCCTTATTAATGGCCAGTCCTGTTACTAGCCTATGAAATATCATGCTCCATTAAGTTTCCAAGCTGCCAGAATTCCTGAAAAGATCAGAATCTAGGATGGGGAAAAATACTAGCAAGAAAATGCCATTTTACCAGGAGAGGTTTTATAGATCGCTTTTTTCTTATTTGACCTGAGTATACTGGGAATTTAAATTTTCTTCCTGATTTTATCTCCAATTTTGTGATTTGTTTTAGGTACTTGTTTTGGAAAACATTTGGGCAAAATATATCTTAAAATTTTCTTTACAAATAGTGTGATGGGGAAAGGTATATATATGGAAGAAAATACATGAATTGCTGGCTGTGTACATAATAGCTATGACTGTTTACTATAAGAAAAAAATTGTAGTTATTTTCCCTTTGCAGAAAAAAATACAAAATCTATTATAAAATGGAGAAAGGATATTTCTCTGTAAGTTGTATTACTTGTTCAGGTTTCCTTTCTAGAAGTTATCAAAGACAAAACCACCATGACTATAAACTTAAAAAAATACCATTTAAAGACCATTTCTCACATGTTCATTGATTTTGATTTTTTTTAACTTCCTGAGATGCTGTCTTACCATACTGGTCATCGGAGGAAAGAAATTATGTTCAGCCTGTGGGTTTTTTTCCCCTTCTGTTTTCAGAACAATGAGGTGTTAGAGCTGCAGAGAATAAGAATGAAGGATGAAATCCGAGAATACAAGTTTCGAGAAACCCGCCTCCTTCAGGACTACACTGAATTGGAAGAGGAAAATATTACTTTACAGAAGTTGGTGTCCACATTGAAACAGAACCAGGTAGGATTTTTTTAAAGATTTTATTAGTTATAGTCCAAATGAAAGTATACCTTCTGCTTAATATTTGGCCTTTTCCTATCTCAATCAGCAGTTTCTCAAGTTTTGCCTTAATTTTTCTCTCCTCAAGGTAACAAACCTTTGCTAATGTTTTCTTGCTGCTTCACCATGGGATGATAGTAGTTATGCATGTGGAGCACAAGGTCTGGCAGGCTGTACCAAGTGAGAAGGTATTCAGAGACAGTCTTTGTGACAAACTGTGTGATATTTGAGGACCAGGCTATTTAAGTTCGGAAAGAATAACCAACAATTGATATATTATTCTGGCCATAGCAAAACATGAAAACTTAGAGAGGATGCATTCTATATAAGTAGAGAGAGCAGCGATGAATCATAGATTTTTTTTTTTTTGGTCTTTTGATGTATTAAAGAATTAAATTTAACAAAACTACTTTTCCCTATGAAATTTATACAGTGCTATTTCCTTACATTTTTCTTGTTATTATTTTTTAATTGAAATAGTGTAGTTTAATAGATTATTGTATAGGCAAAAGATGCCTCAACTTCGAGTTTCAGTCTATGTTATTGTAGTTTAGAACTAAAAAAAACAATCTGTTGAAGAGAGCTTAGCATAAGCACTAGAAGTAAAGAGACTGAACTCTGTTGCTACTTGTTTCTACAAACATTTGGAATAGTTTCAGCCCATTAAAAAATAGGTACTAGGGCTTATGGTTAGGAAAGTTAGAACACCTCTCATTATTATTAAAATGGTTCTAATTTGTAGAATTCTTTGAGATCTCAAGAAAAATTGAATTTACATGGTAAAAATCAAGATCGGAGCCATTAAGAAAAAAAATACCTATTTTCCTCCAACTATTAGAAGAAATCGCCGTCTCATTTCTAGTTTGAGAGTTCAACTAATGCATACATATGTTAATGTAATTTCTCTTTGTAAGGAAGTTCAGAAAACTATATGTCCTTGATATGATGTTGTTGGATTAACAATGACAGTAACTATCTTCTTGGAAGATGCAATTTGTGAAAATGCTTGTTAATATTTGTGTTTTTTAAAAGAGAATGACAAAAGTAGCAGGATAGTTGGGGTTCACCAAGAGTCTTAGCTGATGCCATTATAACATTCTGAACTGAATTTTGCTTCTACTTCCCTTCTCAAAGGAGAAAACTGAGAGGGGTTCCTCCAACCCCACCATCAAAATGTTATCTTTTGACTATAGATACTTCCCCACTGATTTTTAAGAATTTTGTGTTGGAAGACAACTGAAAATGGACCATGTTGAGCTGATGATAAAGAGGTGATTGAATAATTTCAGTTCATAACGTCCTGGAACACCATTCAGTGTTCATCCTATCCCACTTAAATCATTGAATAGATGTAGCTCTGTATGTGTACTGAGGAATGGTTGCATTTTATGCTTGCATTTTCAGTGTTTCTCAGAAACCTTTGGAAGTCAAAAAGAATAAATTCTCTCCCCATGAAACACAAATAGGACTTAAAGCAAATTTTCTATAGTCCATTGGAGATACTCATGTTGCTAATACAGTCTGTCACTGAGGATTTGAATTTTAAATGACCATTAGTTTCTGAAAAATCTAAATCCTCAGTGATAGATTGCATTGGCAATGTGGGTGTTTCCAATGTGCTGCAGTTAATTGAAGGTACACCTGCAGCACTCTCCTATTGGGTATTATTGGGTGGATTTTAATTTCCCTTCGGGGTTAATTACGGCCAGTTCAAGTCATGCTGGAAAGACTGCTATGATTTCCTAAGAGTATTTGTTAACTAGGATGCTTTATTTGGCAATTTGTAGTAACCAATTGATGGTTATTTCTGTTTCACTCTTCTTCTTTTAACAGTAATTGAAAAATGGAAACTAATAGATGATTCAGCAGAAATAAATGAAAATTGAAACAATTATGTTGTAGTTCAGTCATTTCAGTCATGTCTGACTCTTTGTGACCCCATTTGGGGTTTTCTTGGCAAAGATGTTGGAGTGCATTGCCATTTCCTTCTTGAGCTCATTTTACATATGAGGAAATGGAGACAAACAAGGTTAAGTGACTTGCCCAGGGTCACACAAGCTAGTAATTGTCTGAGGCTGGATTGGAATTCAGGAAGATGAGTCTTTCCTGACTCCAGACGTGGCATTCTATCCACTGTGCCACCTAGCTGTTCTGAAACAGTTAACTTGTCTTTAATTTCACTTTTATTTTTAAGACATCATATGATAATTGCCCCAAATCAGTGGCTAACGTATTATTTCATCATTATTTGCCAAAATGTTACAATGGAAGCATTCTAGCTTATTCTTTGATAAGAGGGTATAAGTATACACGTTGTAAAAATTAGACAATGCCATATTTTTCTTCAGTACATTCTTTCTTATGAGCACTTGTATCTATCAAAAATTTCCTGTCTGATCAAAGTATATAAATAATGAAAAATCAAGTTACCACATTGAAATGTAACTCTTGAAAAATGAAGAGTTGATTTTTTTTTCTTTCCCTCCAAATTCCCAATAACCTAGCTATTCATTGATTAGGTATTAGATATTCACTCCACAAATGAGTAATTTATATTCAAAATGTATTTGGAAAAAAAAACCCTGAATACAAGGATTAGTTCTGATTAACTTGTCATTTGTCAGTTGCAGTATCTGTTCTAACACGGAAACAAATTAGAAACAAATTTCAGTTCTTCAGCCACATTTCATTGGATGCTAATTTTCTTTTATTTGTCAGAAATAGAATGAAGGCTAGTCCTACAGGAACATAAGTAGCCACCTGCATGTTGTAACTAAAACAGTAATTGAAATGTAGCTCTACCCTAAAATATCTTACTTGGTAGTGTGATATGGATGTCCCAAGATTTGCAATCTAAGGCATTAAAGACCCCTCTTGAAAGAAAAATATAACATTTTCCTGGGAATCTTGGGGAAGAGGTTGATTCAAGATTGGGGAAAGTTGGGGAAGAATTGTGTTTAAATAAGGAAGAGGATGCAAAAAAAACCAGAAAACAGAAGTGGGAAGAACTGTGTTTTAGGTCTTTGAAGAAGTAAGTCAGTGACAATGACATTCAGGCTCTTCCTTCTCCAATTCAACCTACTACAGATTATAGCAGTAGGCCTCTAATCGTTTTAGCAAAGTTAATCCATGATTTATTTTGCTTAGGGTTAATGACTATTAAAGGTTCATTCAGACCACTTTAGCATGGTTTATTAGACTTATTAACTGGCTTATGTGAGCATCTTGATAAAATGCTGGGATGTTTTAATTAAAGATTCTGGGCATGGGACTCTTAAAAGGTAGAATAAAATAGTAAGGATTCCTGAACTTTTAGGGACCTAAAATATGGATCCAGGAAAGGTCCAAACAAATTTTAGGTATTTAACATTTTGCCTAGGGTAGGCTTAAGCAGAGTTCATAACTATTAATAACATTCGAAAATCTTTTTAGGAACCATAGGACCATAACAAGGACTCTATTACACAATATCAACTTTAGCACCACTTCAACATGACCACAATTTCTTTTGCAATAAAATTATCTACACATCTCCTGCACCCACATTGTTAAAGATTATCTCTGCTAACCCTACATTATCAACAGTAAATAGATGATCTTAGTCCATTGGTTTAGTCCTTTTTCAAGCTTCTGCCCAGCCAGAGGCTGTTTTTTTTAAAAAAATCTGTAATATGAGTTTAACTCTTTGGTTTGTCCTCTTAATTTCCATCTGCCGCCCTAAATATGGTCTATTCCGAACAGGTTTTCAACTTGCCAGTCACTGCATGAACCAATCCTGCAGCATTGCTGTCATCAGTCTTTACTCAGCCCTGATATTCTCCTAACATTACTACCACCAATCACAGAAGCTGCTGCCTGACTTGAAAAATTATAGTTTATCTGAAGAGAGGAAGTTTTGTAGAGGCTCTTGATAAAGTACACTGTCTCCCTAATTAGCATACATCTAGTGTAAGTGTATGTATGTAGGGATAAGGATAGGAATGTGAGGAGAAGAGGAATCAACCACTATTAATGTTTAGAGTAAAGACTATGTTCTTGTGACTCATAGAAAGGAAAAGGAGAAAATTCAGCCTGAACCCCTGAAACTTACCAGGTGTTCAGTTTGAAGCCTTTAAACTACTCTGAGACACCTGAAGAAATCTCCCTATTGCTTCCTGCAGGGTTATCAAAGGATGTGGGACTTCTGGGGGCTCCTTTAATGTAGCACTAAGAATATACGTCTGTGCCCCGCATCATCATTTACTCATTTATTAAGCAGATACTAGGTGCCTGCTATGTGCAAAGGACTATGTCAGGGACTTGAGGAGTTTAGATACAGGACGAAAAAGACAGCTACAAAATACCTATAATCTAAAATAGATTGTCCTAGGTACATGAGGAAAATAGAAACAAAATATTGTGGGTGTTCCTAGGGAGTAAAGATGGGTCTACTAGGGTTCTGAAATTCAGAGATGGGAATTTGAACTCCCTGGTGCCATTTCACATCTGGTGCTGTATAAGTAGGCAAGGATTCATGGAGCCCCTTATAGTTCAGGGTTAAGGATGGACTGGGATTCTCTTTAAGTTTCTTTGAGAGCGGAAGACATGGGACCCTAATTTATGTCATTCTGGGGCTTAGTCTCAAAAAGCTTCATTATGATCAGGTCGCTAGAGTTTTGTAAATATATTTCCATGGCATCATCTCCTCTGTATTATACTGATCAAATTATCCAATTAGATACTTTCCCAAAAGAATCAGTACCCATGAGATCCAGATTCTACTTTTTTATAAGTAATACATAGTAATAAAAAGTCTTATATAAGTGCTAACTATACTCTCATTTTTCTTAGCTCAAACCAATCCAATTCAAGAAGCATTATATACTTACTATATACCTTACTGTATAAGGTTCTGGCAATACAAAATCAAAATTTAAAAATTAAAAAAAAAGGTCCCTTAGCTTTTGAGGAGTTAAAGTTCTACTAGGTCAACTCACCTCAGTCTAATGTGGGAATCTTGCAAACAGGGTTCTTTGCTATATGGCAATTCATGGGGTACCACAGAAGACTGCAGAAATGCCTGCCACTTCATCTAAAAATATTGCTTAACCTCTATCAATAGCATTAATTTACACATAGATTTTAATAATTGGCTTATAGTCTTCTGTTATTTAAATGTCTAAGTTCTTTTTAAGAAAAAAATTCTAATGTAAAACTTCAGAGATAAGATTATTCCATTCAGTTAACGTATGCCAAGGCTTTTTAGGCTTATGATAATTTGAAAGACTTTTAAGTATATAGGGTCTACAGAATACTTAATGACATGTTTGTAAGAGCCAAGTTTTAGTTTAATAAATGTTTTTTGTCCTATCTAATTTAGGTGGAATATGAAGGCCTAAAGCATGAGATTAAAAGATTTGAGGAAGAGATGGTATTGCTGAATAGCCAGCTAGAAGATGCCATCCGGTTGAAAGAAATTGCTGAGCGCCAGTTAGAAGAAGTCCTGGAGACTTTAAAAAATGAAAGAGAACAAAAGAACAACCTGAGAAAAGAACTCTCCCAGTATATTAATCTCAATGAAAGTGTGTACAATAATCATATCAATATCTCAGTAGATGGACAAAAATTTGCAGAGGATGTGACTGAACCAAACAACGATGACAAAATGAATGGACACGTCCATGGGCCACTTGTGAAAATGAATGGAGATTATCGGACTCCAGGAAGGAAAGGAGAAACTCTCCACCAGGTTTCGGACTTATTCAGTGAGCTTAACATTTCAGAAATGCAGAAACTGAAGCAGCAACTTATGCAGGTAATAAGTTGGGGGAGTTTGTCAGCAAATGGTGTTTTGTTTTTTTTTAAATCTATTCAGGGAGAATTTATAGATCCAATGTGAGTTATGTATTGAACCAAAATTTCTTTCCAACAGGAATTTCTTGTTCACCTTCTAATTTCTACTTGATGGTATTCTAATTTAATAAATTAATACTTTAATAAAGAGCTGTGTGAGAGCTTCATATAAATTGAAAAGACACAGCAAAAAAGGTAAAAGATAAAAGATAAAATTAGCAGTTGCAAATATTTAAAGAGCCAGTGCTAAAGGAAAAAGAGTTGGTGAGGTCTGCTCTGTCTACTGCTATTGGTAAGAAAAAAGAATGAGTAATTTTCTCCCATGCAAACTGAGTAGAAGTACCAAAGACATGCCCTTGGTGTTAGAGAGAGTTAGGGATCAGTTTTAGGCAGAATCCCATTTTAGCAAACATCATTAATAGAACATCCTGCAATATATGAATAGGATATTTTCATGTCCAATCCAACAATTTATCCTGACATTACTCTACAAATTCTGTTATATGAAAAATGTTGCATAATGAATGTATTAAGTCTGCTTAATTAAAATGTTTAAGGATTTCTGCAATTATGTATTTAGTGCCTACTACATTCAAAGCACTGTTACACACTGAGAGAAATACAAATATGATGATAATAATAATAATATTCAATTACAAAAGCATTCATTATCCATAGAGAATTAACTATAAAAGAATTGTCCTCAGACCATTTCTATCAGAAACCCATCAAAAAAGATGAGAAAAATGGAATAATGATAATAATCATAGCTGATTTTTACAAGGTACTTTAAAGTTTGCAAAGCACTTCACATAATTATCTCATTTGGCAATCAGCACTATACTGTAAGGTAGGTAACACAGCTATTATCTCCATTTTACAAGTGAGAAAATCAAGTTGTAGAAAGATTAAGTGACTTCCGTATGGTGCCACAGTTTATAAGTGTCAGAAATGTGATTTAATCACCAAAACATAAGAAAATTATTCCTAGGATCTTTATCTTAACTACCTCTATGACCTTCGGTAACATTTGAGTTCTAACGGAGGGACTTGTTTCTTCTCCCCCATTAGAATGTAAGTACTTCATCATCATATATTATCTTCCAATTACTCAGAAGTATTTACCTTTTTATATTTCTCTTAACTCTTGTGTTTTCATTTTAAAGTTTCTACTCAATTCTGATCTTTTCATCAGGTATGCTAAGAAGTTCTCTATTTCATTAAAGATCCTTCCCCTCTTTGCACTCCATAAAACTATATGCAGTTTTACTGGCTAAGTTATTTTTGGTTGTAATCATATTTTTTTTGCCTTTAGGATACAATATTCATATTCTAAACTTTCTTCTTCTTTGTTGTGGTAGCTGCCAAATCTTGTTCAATCTTGATTGTAGCTCTTCGGTATTTGAACTCTTTCTGTACGCTTGTAGTACACACACACACATTTTTAAGTAGAAGCTCTGAATTTTGGCTATAATGTTCCTGGGAGTTTTAATTTTAGGGTTTCTTTCAGGAGGTAGATTCTTTTTAATTTCACATTGCCCTCTGTCTGGGACATTTTCATTCATGATTTCTTAAAAAAAACATAGTATCTAGGCTTTTATGGTCAAGATTTTCAGGTAATCAGATAATTCTTAGTTTAGCATTCTTAGGGTCAAATGTAAAATGCTTTAGAAATTTAAAGCACTACATAAATGGTAGCTTTCCTCCTCCTTATCATCATTATCATCATCATCATGTCTCCTTATTTTCTAGGTCTGTTGCTGATAGAAGACATTTTACATTTTGTGATACTTTTCAGTGTTTTTATTTTATTCTGGTATTTCATTTTATCTGGTTGAGTCATTGATCTACATCAGGTCAGAACTAATATTCAGATGGTATGTTATTTGAGTAAGGTTCTGCACCTCCTATTAAAGTATTTATTCTCTTTCCAAGTCTTTACTCTGGAACTTTCATTTCCTTTCCCATTCTTTTCATTTTGTATTGGAATTAAAAAAAAAACAACTCTTGCCTCATGTCTTCTAGGAATTCAGTAGAGCTTATGACAAATCTTTTATTTTCTTTGTCATTTTGCTTGTTGATAATGTGTGGTTAATCTCTAATATGGAGTTTATGTCTTGAGCATCCCTGGTTCCATAATATTTCTTAATCATCAGAGCTTTCTTATTTTTTTTTTCATTTTCCCAGCCTTACTTCTTGAATTGAGGCTTCATATTCTGACCAGGCTCTCTGTATGTCTGTAAGAAATGGTGGGCCTTCTCTGGTAGTGATCTGAATTATCTGTGGTCTGGGCAATGAATTCTATGTTCTTCAAAGCCCCCAGGAGTGGTAGTGCTAGGGAAATTTACCTTAGGGCAGGCTCTGTGAAGAGATCTGAAGAGGTAAAGAGATCTTCGTTGGAAACCCAGTTTGGGGTTGATATTGATACATTGATATAGGCCATAGGCTTCCATGGTTAAACCATGGTCTTAGTTCCCATTTCCCCGTCCCAGAACAAAGCTTTAGACTCTGTAAATTTTCTTAACTTGCCTATGTTCCCTGTACAGGAAGGCTTCTGTTTGCTGCGATTCTGGTTCAGGTTTGTCTGTTTTGTTTTATTTATAATCTGTTTAATATCTATCTACCCTTGCCTTAGTGTCCACGGTCTTTTGACTGTCTCTTTGAGGAGAGCTGGCCTTTTCTCCTTCTACTCACTTGAGGAGAGTCTCACATGACTTCTTCCTGATGAAGCCACACTGGCTCTTTGTGATCACTGTTATCTTTTTCTAAAATATTCACTTACTATCCCTTTATTCAAGCTTTGTAGAATTTTGCCGGAATTCAAAGTCATATTTGTTGCTATATTTGTTGTTCATAGATTCTATTTTCTCCTCTTTGGCGAAAATAATGACATTTGCCTTTCTATACTGTGGCATCCTTACAAAGTTGCCACAAACTTACACAGATAACTTATGCTGGTTCAGGAATAAAAACTACTCAAAACTGTAGGGCATTACATTGTTATCATAGAATGTAATTTATCTGGACCTACTGACTTGAACTCATCTAGGGCAGCAAGGTGCTCTGTTACTATCTCTCTAAATATCTAGAATTTCAACTCTTTAAACTTTTGTCTTTTTTTAACCCGAAAATCTTTATCTAGAAGAAACAAAAAAGTTAGAATTTATTTTTCACCATCATCATTGCAGTTATCCTCTTCTCCTCTTTGACTCTTCTTTTTCCTGATACAGATTTTTAAAAAAAATACACAGGTTTTATTGCCTTTAGATTTGTCAGCCTCATTCTGAGCTTTAGCTTTCCTGACACTGTTCTTACAGGATCACTCTTATCTTAGTCATCTGTTACCACCTGTGCTTCCATCTTTTGTGAATGCTTTAAAATCCAAGTTGTTTGATGAATCCTTTGTCTATATATTCTCTTTTCCTTCTTATCAGAATTGCTTTTCTTTGTGTCTTCAGAATTTCTTTCTTCAGTGCTTCCCACCCTACCTGAGCAGATACTCCTTTTAGCATATTAGCTCATGGAATCCTACATAACCTTTCTCTGAGCTCTCTGAAATCTGCTCTCCCCAGCTATTGCATAATTGCCAACTTCCTTATCTTCTATCACAGATTCTAAGGAACAGCCACTTTACTCCCAAGGTTCCTGTCATTTCTGCTTTAGCAACCATTCTTTATTAGCAAGAATCAGAGCTATAATAAAAGTTCTCTTCATAGGCTCCTTGGTCTTTTAAAAAATGAAATTTTCCTTAAGGCATCCTATACAGGTCGCTGCAAAATTCTCATTTCATTTTTGTTTCCTTTTTAGTGGAGTATCTTGTTCATTTTCAAGTCAAATCACTCATAGCTTCCAACCTTTGAGAGGGATAGCAACAAGGTACCTCCTCCTTATCCTTATTCTGTAAATAAGGAAAGATCAGGTGGTATAATGGAAAGGGTAAAACTCTGATTCACGTCTCCCTTTACTGCTTCTGTGACCTTTGGCAAGTAACTCTGCCTCTTGGAGCTTCTGTTTCCTCATCTGTAAGATGGAAATTTTATAGGATTTTAGAGCTGGAAGAGAATTTAGAGATAACCTAGTCCAGTACTTTTATTTTATAAATAAAGAAATCTAATCCCAGAAAAGTCAAATAATTTGCTCCAGGTCTTGCAGGTAGGAAATAGCAAGGCAAGGATTCAAACCTGGGTCCTTTGGCTCCAGATCCATTGCTTTATTTCATTGAACTATATTCTCCCTGGGAAATTTTTTTTTTTTTTTTTGCTTTTTGGTGACGCAGTCGGGGTTAAGTGACTTGCCCAGGTCACAGAGCTAGAAAGTGTCAAGTTTCTGAGACTAGACTTGAACTCAGGTCCTCCTGACTCCAAAACCAGAGCTCCATCCACTGCACCACCTAGTTGCCCGTAAATGGTTTTTTTGGGGTTTTTTTTTGGTTTTTTTTTTTGTTTGTTTGTTTTATTTTGTTTTGTTTTGTTTTGGCGAGGCAATGGGGTGAAGTGACTTGCCTAGGATCACACAGCTAGTAAGTGTCAAGTGTCTGCGGTCACATTTGAACTCAGGTCTTCCTGAATCCAGGGCCGGTGCTATATCCACTGCGCCATCTAGCAGCCCCTCATTGAACTACATTCTACTTTAACAATAAACTATCCCAGGTATGTATATTAATCATGTTTACTTAACTGTAAATTAATGTCTTCCATTTAGATTTTTCTATTTAGCTGACATACTGTTGGAAAATTTAATGTATGACTTGCAAACCCTCTTTTGAAAATAAACAGATCGATTAGCATAATCCCTTATTCCTAAAGAGAAATTTCTCAGGGAATTGGCAAATAAGTGGTTTTGGATTTTGGACTGTTCCAGGGTTGTTTCCCTCCAGGACATAATAATTGAGATATCACAGCAATTGTCAAGCTCTGTAATAATTTTAAAATGAAAAAAGTAGTTGTGACTGGAAAACTAACT